CGGTTCAATCCCCAGCACCACATGCCAGCCAGCCCCGCCCCCTGGTGGGCTGAGCTGGCCACACACACACACACACACATAAGTAAATAAATAAATATTTTTTTTTTTTAAAAAGTGCCTGCTTAGGCAGACACAGGGCCTGGGGTTTGATCCCCCAGAGTGAGGTACTGGCCCTGCCCCCCAGGGGAGCCCTGAGATGGAGACAGACTGGAGACAGACTGGGTGTGGTAGCACACACCTATAATCCCAGCACCTGGGAGTCTGAAAACAGGAGGATCACTATGAGTCCGATCTGTGTAGTGAGACCCTGTATGAAAAAATATATAAATAAATAAATAAATAAATAAATAAATAAACTGTACTTTGTTATTCAGATTTTTTGGTATAGTAACTGAAAACGGACTAACAATTACAACAGACTAAAAGAATTGATGAGGGAAATTTTATTGAGCTTCTTTAGAGTATTGTTGATTTGTTTTAAAGTTTTATTTCCTAGGAATGGAAGGAGCCCTTCCTCTTTCTTCTTACACTATCTATAATTCACAATAATTTAGTAAATGAGAGATTGGGCATGGTGGTGCAGGCCTGTAATCCCAGCACTTGGGAGGCTGAAAGCAGAAGAGTGAGTCTGATCTACGTAGTGAGACTCTGAACACCCTGTAGACCTTGTACCAAGTACATTAAAAGATAAATAAATAAAATAATTTAGTGAATGAAACATTTAAATATTACAATCCCCACCGACATGACCCTCTCCCTCCAACTAAGAAGCACGTTATCTCTTTCCACTTCATGGCGATGTAGTTGTTTGCATGGGTTCAGTGAGAGTCTGCGCCCTTCATGCCAGGATATAACTGGAAGCATCAATTATGCAATCAAGCCTCGCCCAGAAATGTCATCTATGAAAGTGACACTCATTTAACTAGGCATGACAAGTTATTTTAAGGGACAAAATTTGACTGAATTTATGGAGTCCATGTCTATAAACTTGGCTTAGGTCTAGGTATAGAGTCCAGATTCATAGCCAATAATGAAGATCAACTCCAGGCAAAACTTCATCTTTTAGAAAGCTTGTGTGGTGGGGAGAATTCCCAAGTAAAATTCCTGGAGCATCTTAGGCTTGGTATCCTCGTGTCAGTAGGGTATGAAGCAGTAATCTCTTTTAAAAATCCAATCTAGGGGCTTAGGAGATAGCTCAGTGGTCTAAGCACCTGCCTGGTAAGCACAAGATTCCAAATTTGATCCCCAGCACCACACGCCATGCTGGCCCTGAAACCAGGTATGGTGGCACATGCCTATAATCCCAGCACTGGGGAGGCGGAGACAGGAGGATCGCTATGAGTCTGAACTGTATAGCGAGACCCTGTATTGAATAAGTAAATTTAAAGTCCAATCTAATATTTCTTATGGCAGCTTCTAGACACAAGTTAATTTTGAATTGTCCAACACCATCTGGCTCCAGATGTTGCAAAATCAGCTGATAGAAGCTTGTGTGGCGATGACACTCTTTGATAAATCTATGGAAGAGATCAGATAAACCAGAGGTGACTAGCCTGTGTGTGCATGTGTGTTCAAGAATAGCTTGTCTTTTAAACCAGCATGTGTGTTCAAGAATGATTTTTCTTGATAGCCCAAATCGTTTGATAATAACAATAAGCTTTTCTTCTGGATGGTTAACAACCTA